GTCTAGTAACATAACTTAGATAAATTCTAATATTATTCTTTCTATATAACACATATCTATCAAAATCATCTTTTTTTGATACTTATTCAAATACATCTTTTGATACATTGACTTTTTGGCTAATCATTCCAAAGATGCTACTTGAAGCATTTGCAAAACTTCTATACTCAATTTTTATTTTTATTTTGGATTATAGCCTCTAAGCTTCTTCTTCAATTTATTTGTCAATCTATCTTGTTCTTCTCTTTGCAATAATAGGTCTTCTTTGGACATTGTTCTTTACTAAACTTCAAACCCACTTGTCTAGGCTTAGCCACCAAGAAAACAATATGTTGCTCTTCTTTTAAAAATACATCACATTAATTGATCCATTTGGTCTTATAAATCATGTACCCAACTTATTGAGCAATTTTAATTTGGACGGCATAGCTAGCCTAATTTACATCTTTTTTTTTCTTCAAATAATAAATTATTTTTATACAAAAAAAATTACAAGCAAGTTTTAGTTTAACAATTTGTCATAAGAATAACAAAGCGGTCACATCTAAAGTACAAAATTTAACATTGCCTCATCTATTATTTCTTTCATACTAAATCTCTTTGATCACATCTTGTTAAATTGCTCAAAAAGTTTTGTTGTATCAACTTCAAATTATTCTTTAGTTAAATGAAGATTCACACTTCTCTACGAAGTCTAAAATGCCTCTCAAAAGAATCTGCATTTTGTAGCAAAGGCAGAGGCAATTGCATCTTCAACTTTAATAATACCCCTTTGAATGTGACGACCTTCATTTTAGACTTTTCTTTCCTAGTTATAGTTGTGCCTTCCACCCTATTAACTATGATCTTATTCTTGATTCTTTTGTACAATTGAGACATAGTAGCTATTTGTTAAATCCAACAAATGCATAAGAACCACTATGTTGACCTATATGACTCTAAATCTAACTAAATTGCCACTTATTGCATACAAATCCTTATCTTGGGCAATAAGATTGAATATTGCTAGAAAAAAAAGACGATACTAGTATTTTTGGTAATGCCAAAGTTTTTGATATATATAATCAATCACTATTATAAAAATCCCTAATTTGATGACTACTAAACTCCATCACCTACTTGTTATGTTTTATTAAGTTCAAAAAATAGAATAACAAGACTCACAAGATTGACTATATGTATAAAGACATATATAATATAACTCAAGTATAGAATATGTAGCTTAATATTTTTTAATTTTTGTAAAAGATTATATATGAAAGTGTCTACTATGGCTTTAAAACCATCCATCCAATCATGGAAACCACCGTATGTTGATGCCATGTATTAGTTATAGTTTTGTCAATATATTATCTTTTCTTGTCACATTTAAATCAGATTTTGCTATTACCTATTAATCAATTTTTAATAATGACATAGCCATAGAAAAGTATAAATAATTGAATGTCAATGATGTGATCTTTGAATGAATTATATTGGCTATCAAGAAAAGGATCCATCTTCTAATGTAATATATAGTGTGAGGCGATGTTTAATAATTCAATATAAAAAAAATATAATAATAAAATAATTGATAGAATTATTGTATTTTTTCCAATTTATCCAACATATATTTTTTAACTAACAAATGAAATTAATTAATTAATTAATTAAATTAAATTAAAAAAATTACTAACATAATATTTTATATCTACACATCCATCACTTGTTATTAGATTGCCTCTTGCTCTCTCTTGCTTATTCTCTCTATGTCTCTATTTTTATTTTATCCTTATTTTTGTCTTTGCTTGTTTTTTCTTTCATTCTCTATTTTGTTCTTTATTCTTTTCTCTAACTTATTATCTCTCTTTTTTTGCTCATTTTTATTTTCCCACTTCATCAACATCTCTTTCAAATATAGACCTCAATACAACATTAATAGCCTAGTTCTTTGCCATCTAGTAGCAAATTCTTCTCACTATCAAAGGAAAGTCCTTCACTCTTTTTTAATTGACTCTTGATTAGAAGAACAAGCAAGAATGTCCAAAAGCACCTTCTTAAAGCTATGTAAATTCTTGCGTGATAAAAATGTGCTAAAAGATTCTACTACATACTCAATTCAACTTTAATTGTGCTTATATTTTTATATTGTTGGACAGTGGTCCTCAAACCAAAATATAAGAGAAAATTTTTAATATTTTGGTAAAATTTTCTTTTGTAGTAACAATATCTAAATTGTATATCATAGCTTGTATACACACCAAATTCTTCACAAATCTACAATGAGCCAACTCAATTAATAATAATAATAATAATAATAATAATAATAATAATAAAATCATCATATTTTTTATATTTATGAAAGTTGACTTATACCACATTGTGGTAAGATTTAAGTTGGTTCTTTGTAAATATAGTATTGAACTCTCTATTTGTGGAAACAACTAGGGCATCTCAAACCATTGCTTTAAATTTGTTTTGCAAATGCTTCTCTTTTTGTTGTGCAATTAACATTCCTTCAACAAAGAAATTATTGCATTATATATTCCAAACTACTTGTGATTTTATTTAGCTACCACTGTGGTAAGTTATTAGTGATAGAGTCACTTGTAGTATTGAATGTATAATAGTAGTGGTGGTTGACAAGGAGATAATAAATATTTTATAAAACAACAAGTTGTGAGGTTTTTTTTCTTTTTAAATAAAATATGTTTTCAAAAACTATTTTATTTAAAATTTTATTTTTATCATTGGACTGCCAAAAATAATAAAAACTATTTTTTAATTTAATCTATTTTTGGATCAAATTGGAATTAAACATTGAGTTGCCAAACATGCTCTAACCTTAGTAGTATACTTTCTAGTCAATTTAAGTTATTTGGAGGTACGTGGGATGTAGTAATATCAATTGGAGGTGTAGCATTAATAATTTTTTAATAATAATATATCACTAAATATATTAAATACTAAAATTTTAAAAAGAAAATATTTGATTATAATGATAATAATAATTTTGTACATTACAAATTAAACAAGGTATTTTATCAAAGAACTTTTAGTGTAAAAAAATATATTATTCTTTGCTTTGTAGATTTGAATTTAGTTCTATATACACTCTAAAAAACAAAATGTCATTTTTTATATCTTAGGATAGATTTATTCTATATGAATGGCTTGTTTTAAATAAATTAAATTTAAAAATATTTATATTATTAAGAAATTAGATTCTAATTAAGTATGATATTTTTATAAATATAAATTATTTTAAATTATTTATTTTATTAATATTAAGTAATCTAAAAGGATCATTAATATAAAAGTACATGCAAGTTATGTTATTTTATTTTTATTTTAGATTATACAATAAGGAGGAAGTTAAAGAAGTTCTAAAGAAGTATATACAAATAATTCTTAAATTCTATTATTAATTTTATTTTTAGACATTCATAATTTTTTATTATATCTTAACAATCTTGTTACTTTCTTAACAAAATTGTTTCTTTAGTTATTTATTTATTTATTTATATTAATGCAATAAGGTCAACAACTTTGTACTATCATAGTTAATGCAAAGATCATAATAAAATATTTAATTGCTCAAAAATATTTTTTAATTTATTTTTTGGTAACATATACCTTCTAAAAAAACCTCTATTATATCATCTATTTCTTGATTTTTTTTGCTTTAATAACCGATTAAAATTATACATTATTAATATATTTTAATATAAATAACAAATAATATGATATATGCAACAACAAAAGACTTGGATATTTTGTCATAAACTAAAATATTAGTTTATTTTACAAGATATTAAATGAAATTTTTCATTTCAAAAATGTACCTTCAATAATCAAAAGAATTTAATCTTTTTTACACAATTAAAAAAAACCAGGGTTACAAGCAAAACAAACTATGCAAGTTGTAAAAGTTGAAGCAGTGGCTTGGTCAACTTTTCAAAACCAAAACATCTTTTGTGTGGGAGGAAAGCCAAGCAATTTGAAACTTATGCTTTACAGATATGTGAACTTCAACGTTAGTTTCAAGACATCCCCAACTTAGCAAACATTTGTCTGTGGGCTCTGCTTAAACTCTTGTGCATGGATTCTATTGAAACTTGTGACCTATTAGATTACTTGTTTTTACTTATATATACACATTTAAATGTAAATTGTTTGTTTTTTTGTTCTTGTACTGTTTCTTTTCAATGCAAAACTCAAACTTGAATACGTTAATGTACAAACATACACGCACATGCAAGGACCCACTTGACAAAAGTTCTAAGCAGAATCGATTCCTCATGCGATTTTTACTTCGATAAACTGAGCTCGGAATCGAGACAATGGCGCATCCATGATGCGTGTTCGACGTGAACTTGAGTTGCATGAAGATTATCGTTTGCTTGCTTCATGGCTTTCCAGTAGATTCAGTCTCCAAATTCTGTGTTCCAAGCTTTGATTCCCACAGTCACTTCCGCATCTGCCACTCCACACAACTTTTTTTTATCCTTCAATGCATGATACCGCAAGGGGTGTTCTCTTTCTTTCACTCTCAATTCCTCATCCAAATCACCCCAACACCGCAACTGGGTCCCTTGGCGTCTACCAAATGATGTGGAATACGTCAAGAATCCAAGAGAAACTTCCTGCAATCCTTTCGGTTGATGCTCAGTAATTCCTAGAGATGCCGCCTTCGTCACGTCCATGTAAGGACGGGGCTTATAATCTCCAGACCATCAAGGTACATGTCCCACGCATTATTTTAAACTGGTAGCTGGATTGGATGTGGAAAGCATTTTCAATCAAATTGACATGTAACGAGCACACAGATCAAGTATACATTCCAATAAGTTTGAGATGGTCACCTTTTGAAATCTCGCATCAATATTTATTCATATAACTATCTGACGGTGTATTTAAACAATACATTCACGTAATCATTTAAGATAAGAGTTGCTGCACATCGACTCAATTTTGCTGGACTCTTTTTTTGTTACTGTCACACATTTTTAAGCAGCACGTATCATTCCAAAAGGACTTTAATGACGGTTGGTTATTGTGATAGAACTCCACATTGGCTTAACTCGTGAATTTCCAATTACTAAGCGGGGACTAAAATTTCCAATTACAAGCCTCAGAGCTGATAAAATAGAGAACATGGCAATGAGAATTTAACATTCTGGTTGGTTGGTCACAGCTATCGATGCTGTGTGTCGATGACGTAAAAGTCGAGGCTATATGTTCACAAGAGCAATTCAAAGGCACTAACACTTCTCATGGCTGAGGTGTGGCAGATTGAGCATATAACAATTTCCAGTAAATTGATTTCCGTAGTCAGACAATTCTCCACTTTTACCCCCAAATAGGCAATCAGAAAGCCTGCACAAATTACAAGACCAGGGATGTATTACATATCTGACTTAACCATCGAAATATTTAGCAACTGTAACGAATAGAAGCACTTGCGTGGAGAACTACACTGGTCGACATGGTATTCAATCACCAAATTGAAGGTTTACCGTCGCAGGTGATACTCAAGCTTTCCAAATTCCAGTAAATAAACAAAGATACAAATCCATATAATTCAGTCTAGACGTCCACTGTTCGTATCATCTTTCAATGAAATAGCATACAGGAGAGGGAGAGGGAAAACAATAACTGGTCTAGAAGGTCGGTCACCTTCAACGTCGAGAACAGAGCGAATTTCGACATAACTAAACTCTTTCAAAGGTAAGAAAGCTCTGCTGTAGAAGCGGATGCTTAGCCTCACAAGAGGACTCCCTTGCCGTGTTGTTCCATCTGTAGCAGCCATACTATAGGGGTCACCTGAGTCGCGATGAGTTCAATATGTCCAAGTTCATTGATAGAAGATTCTGACCTGACTTCTGAATATTGCATGATGACAATCTGCACAGTACTAAAACAAACACTGAAATTTGAGACTTCAGGTAAACAATTATATTCGCATGCACACTACAGCAAGCTAACCTGGGCAAACGAAGTACCAATTCCATTAGGGGTGATAAACCCAAAAACACTTGCAGGCACAAAGATTGATTACCGACTTTTAAATTTGTCGGTCAACCTTCCAGAATCTCATTGCAGAACTTGTACATTGACTTCTTCAGCTCTGTTAGCAATTTTCACTAACATTCTCTAACGAAGTGTCTACAGCCTGCACCTCAGCACTTCCCAGAAACTTGAGAAGGGCACGTCGAATTTCTCCTATGCGAAGAGCAGCCTTCTCGTCCATGGAAATCTTGTCATGCTTTGAATATTCGAAAGCACCAAGAAGTGGCGCCATCGTTGCACCACATACCTGTTCCGGCCTGATGAATTAATCATGTCTCAGCATAAAATTAAAAATGGAACGAACTAAGAATTTCCACGAATATCTACTAAAAACAAGAACGAAGTTTAAGACACATACCACGGAAATTCATGCTAAGTCTGTCGGTCTGACCAGGAGGCGTCTGAAGCTAAAACTGTGGGTAGATGAGGAAGATAGCGAAAAACTAATGGCAAAATCTTCGAACGTCTTTGCATACTCCACATAAGAGAAGTTTCTAAATCTTTAATAAGAAGTGCATCTGGGGTCTTTGCGTCAAGTTTTTGCATATCCTCGCCACTGACGTGTCTGATTCCAGTGGTAACGAATTTTTCTTTTCAAATGAAGGAGAACTGGACATTTTAGGCTTTTGATTCAGCGCAACATTCAAGCCTTCACTTCTAGAAGATGGATTTATCCCACATAATTGCTCAAGAAAATCTTCATATGCTTTAAAAGCATTGACTACAGATATTTGCATGCCAGAATCTGTTGAATGTGGTTTACGAAAATTTACTTCTAAATTGGTATTTGTTTCATGGTTTCCAGTAACTGATACACCCCCACCACTTATACGATGCTCCTGTGAGGAATTTCCAGAATTAGAAGTTACTTTCTCATCTCCATCGATCAATGTATTTCTCCTATTTGATCTACTGCTGTTCTTCAATACTCCTTCCTCGCTGACTTTACCAGGCTTATCAACTTCTGAAACACCTGTAACCACCGTCAAGCCAGAGTTCCAAGATGGAAATGGCTCTAATCCTTCTGCAAGCCTAGCAAACCCACACAACCCAACACATAATCTAATAAGGAACAATTCCAGCAGCCACAGCAGATCCCTTCTGAGCTGGATAGAAATATGACTAGGGCAAGCAAGAGAGCACATACTTCGAAGCGTTTACAGAACTTCAGGTGGAACTACAACATAGGATTGGAACATACCTGGAAACGTAGCATAACAGCCTGGGACCAACTGCGAGTTCTTCGCGATGCAGGAAAGCCTGATAGAGATTGCAAACAGAGCCAGCAAATACGCTTACAGAGGGATCGTGCACACGGAACCGTGTCATGCGTGCGTTGAAGTGGGGAAGAGCTCACTCCCCCGCTCAGTGGAGAGGAGTTGAGAGCCACAAGTTTGGCTCGTGGCAGCTTGCTTTATAGACCCCCGCAATACTGCTGCTGCTTCGAGGCCAGGTCTTGCGGCTACAGCAGCGCCTCTCTCGCCCGCCGAATGGATGGATGATATCTCTCTCATCCGTCCACATTCGTCTATGCCCGTAACTTTAAATGTTACTGACTTTATAGGTTTCCAACTTTTCGTGAGAGTACTTTTCATTCCCCAGCTTGACTTCCCGCTTTACGTGAAGCTGGATGTTTTTCATTGGATGATTTTGCGTTACGCATTTCAATGCCCATTAAGAGTATTTCCTTATTACGGTATACTTGAGTTTATGGGCTTCTCACAGTTTGGAAGATTTGTTGTTGCTATTTATAAATATATATGTTTTATATTTTTTAGTTTGTTTTTTATTTTTTTATGTATATATGTTATCAATTATTTATAAAGAATTTTTTCATGTATGATATTTCTTAGTAATTCTCATATCATAGACATTTAGTCACCAATCCCACTTTTTTATTTTTAACATTTTGTGTATGTAAATGTATACACTTTAAATTATCATTTTGAAAGTTTCCAATGGCAAGCACTTGACTTTTTACAGGTAACAACATTCTATAACATTTTTCACACGTGTTATTTCAACATTTCACAATTCACATACACTTTGAAACTATTTCTACCGATTCTTATAAAAATTGATACAAAATTACCAGCACCAAAATTCTGCTGTTGAAATCATCAAAACTAGAAGGTGCATGTTTAATATGATGGAACAAAAAAGTGAATCCAGAATTGAAACAAACGTCACTCGAATTTTGTTACCTTTGTGTGGTGCGAGATGTGGCAAATACTGTGGGCCATACTATACAAACGCTTTTTGTTTTTGACTTGGAAAGGTCACGTGCAGACCAGAGCAGTGACCCAATCCCGCATCAGGGACCTAATCCCGAATAGGGGGCTTAATACCGCTTAAGGGGCCTGATCCCACGCGGCTTGGGGGGTGAGCCCCTGCAGCGAAGGGGATAGTGGGGGACGGAGGACTCCTCAATAGTCTCACGCTTCGCCACTAGATCGTGTCTCCCTCCGCGCCAATTCCACCCTTCCCTTCTCGAAAATTTCCCTCATATCGGGAGCTCAAAACGTTTGGAACATCGTGAAACCACCTTCGCAATATTCGATCCCACCCACGTCCCAGATCACTCGCCCCCAGCACAATGTGGGTGACGCTCCGTGGCCTCTGTGTCAACTGATCGTAGTTTTTTTATGCCAGCGCTTCGCAATTTGGTGTTGAGGAGTTGGGTTCTCAAATTGCCGCAACGGGCCTGAAGGTGAGTAGCTTGGAGTGCGATTTCAGCGACTGGAGGATGGTTCAGTAGAGAATGTGAGTTGGGTTGAGGGTGGAGCGCATCTCTGAGAAGAGAGGTGGCGGAATGTGAACTGGGATTGGGTGCATAAGTGACGGCGAAATGTGAGAAGGGGTTCTGTGAAGGAATGTGTTGTGTCGGTATGAGTGTGAATTTGAGATCGTCATCGGAGGGAGAGTTTTTTGGGGGGGTGTGTTGGATGCTTGTGGTGCTCAATCTGAAAGCTTTCTGTCCGAATTGGTTGTGATTTAGGGGATTAAGCGGCTGCGTTGTTATCAGTAAGTAGGTGTTCGGGTTGTGTGCTGTAAGGATTATGGCTGCAGGTGGGAAGAGAGAGGCGAAAGATCCTTTGGATTACTTGACAGAGGCGTGGCGGGTGCTGCGATTGTCGGTTCGATGTTCGACGCGGGTGCCCACATGGGATGCTGTTATGTTGACCGCAGCAAGCCCCGCGCAGGCGAATCTGTATCAATTGCGGTTGGAGCAAGCCAAAATGCACGGTACGATCGCCAAAGAGACAGTGGTATTGGCTGTTCCCGACCCTGAAGGGCGGCGAATTGGCTCTGGAGCAGCCACAGCGAACGCACTTCGAGCTCTTGCCTGTCATTTACAAGTAACTATTACACACACGGACATGATTTTACATGGTTGTTTGATCTGGATCAAGAGTTCGGATTCGCAAGGTTTAGGATTCGTTTTCCAGAGGATGTCAGCTTTCTTCCAGTATTACTGTGGAAACGCATAAGAGCTTCAGTCAAGCTGAGGTAGGTTGCATGTTGTAAATTCCATTTTATGTCTCTAAGCTGGATCTCGTTGATTAGCAAGAGGATATACTGACTTTGAGTATTTTGAATAGGATGTGGAGGGGAGTCTAGCAGGACAGGATCTGACCACGACGACCACGCCACTCGCTTTCGATCGAAGAATGCGGGTGCTGCTATTGCACACTGGCGGTGACTCTAAACGAGTTCCATGGGCAAATCCTATTGGCAAAGCGTTTATACCGCTACCATTTTTGGCTGGGGATGAACCTGACGGACCGATACTTACTTTATTCGACCATATCCTTGCGATCTCTGCTGGCGTGCTTCAATCCTTTAGCAACAAAGGTAATCATCGGGCTACATGCACGTTACCAAAAGGACGACACACGTAACATTTTTGGTTCAAACCTTTATTTCATGTTTGAAGAGTGCGATTCTTGTTGCAGGTGGTTTGCTGATTATGACTGGCGATGTCCTTCCATGTTTCGACGCGTCATCAATGACACTCCCCGAGAATGGTGCCATTGTGATCACGGTCCCTGCACCTCTGTCTAGAGCATCAAAGCATGGTGTAATCCTGGGTTCTCAGGTTAGTATTGGTCTTTTGGGTTCTACTTCCCCTGATAGTTGACTTTGATTGTGTGCTTGTGTAAAAAATTGTGCAGCACTTCTGATAGTTTACTCACATTGTTGTAAACAGAGTGATAAAAACACAAGCACTCTGCCTCTTGTGATAGACCTGCTTCAGAAGCCGAGTTCAAAGGAAATGGGAAAGAGGGGGGCGATGCTGGCAGATGGCACAGCGCTGTTGGATACGGGTATTTTTGTTGTACGGGGAGATGCTTTCAGCAACCTAGTAGCATTTGCACTTCTGGATCCAAACCCAGTGGCAGATATTCTTGCAACAGGGGAAGAAGTGGGTGGGCTCCCTCTCTTTGCTACTATTTTTCCTTTGTCAGCAACAGGCACGGTGCTGTTAAATGAGTTAAGCTGTAACTGACATTTCTTCTTCTTTTGGAGTTCAGTAGTATGAATAGAAACTCTTGAATGTTTGGTCTACTGCAGGTGAGTTTATATGAAGAGGTTGCAGGGGCGTGGGTGTCAGCAAGGCATGAATGGCTAGTATCGCGGCCGCTTGGCAAGAAGCTCATCAATGCATTGGGGTCCAGCAGATTGTATCATCATTGCGCTGGTGTGAGACGAGCCCTTTCCTGTTTTCGCATGTTCTCACTGTGATTTGCCTTGTGTTAGGGGCATCAGCCTTTGTTATCTGTAGGTATGTTCTAAATTATGTTTTTAAAAAATATCCGCAGAGAATATCTTGTGTGCCATCCATTCACTTTTCTAGTTCTTTTTTTTGTGCTATATTCTATCGGAAGAGATTCAAGGGCTCTGTGCCAGTATTGCTAGTTTTCTAATCTGGCATCGTGTCTTGGATCCAGAGGAATTGGAGTTCCTTCATTTCGGTACATCCAGTGAAGTCTTGGATCACTTGGTAGAGGATCACAAAGGCCGCGTCTTACGCAAACAGTTCAGTGATATTCCTGGATCTCCTCTGTGCGAAGTGGCAGCATCAGCATCTGTCATTGGCTGTAAAGTTCACCCTTGTGTCTCGGTGGGTGAGGGAAGCTTAGTCTTCAGTTGCACGCTTGTGGCGGGCACAAGGGTTGGCAGCCGGTGTGTAGCCATGGGTCTTACTTCAGAAGAGCCTGATTCAAGCTTCACTCTTCCCGACCGCCATTGCTTATGGCGGGTTCCGGTCTCATTGAAAACACTGAGCGGTGCTCAAGTTGTTCTTTGTTGTGGTCTGGATGATGACCCCAAGGTTTCTTTTTCATCTGGAGGCTCGTTTTGTGGTGGACAATGGGGCAAATTTATTAGAGATCGAGGAATTTGTAAGAGTGATCTTTGGGGTCCCAATGAGGACGAAAACCTCTGGAATGCTAAGCTATTCCCTGTTGTGTCACTTCAGGAACAGGGCATTAGCTTTGCCATGTGGTTGATGGGTGCCAGTCGAACAACCTTCGACAAAAACTCTGAGCTTACCCTGTGGTGTACCAGTCATCGTCTCAGTCTCAGAGACCTTCATCGTCACATCAACTTCAATCAGCTGAACCATGAAGTTGGTGAGCACATTGCCACTTTAGCAGGTGCTTTTCTAAAAGCAAGCATTGTTTGTGGAGCTTTGGGTCGCAATTTCTCGCAGCTTTGTCAGAGCATTGCGCTTGGTGGCAAGGAAACCGCTGCTAAGCTGTTTAAGGAATCAAACTCGTTAATCACGGATCTTAAACGCGAAAATACAGCCTTTGCACCTTCAAGCAGGGTGTGCCAAGCATTGCTCGATATATGTGAAGCTTGCGGGGACCCTTGCTCTGAGTCTATTTCCGATGCCTGCGTCTGGGATGCAGTAGCTGCGGAAACTGCTGTTGCTGTGGGGCAGAGTGTCGGAGGTACGCAATCAGGCTCTTCATTAGATTTGTTTCGGCTAGTTGAATCCTATTAGGTGCTTCGCTGAAATATATGTACAGTCTATTCTGAATGCCAATATTGATGAGGACTAACAGAGGTCAAACGTCTCGATGAATTTCCAAACGATACATTACTTATATCATTCACCTGCAAGTCGTAATGCCTGGTCAAGTACTTTTGGGTTTCAAACCTCGCCATTCATAACTAGCATCTGTATGTTAGAATATCGCACGCGAATTCTCGGCCGCAATTTGTAGTACATGAAGTTCTGTAGTTGGTCATTTTTTTGCAGAGATGGAGGCGGCAAACGAAGAAATTGCAGTTCCAATCTCTATAAGAGCTATTATTCGCTCTAGAGTTGAGCTTCCTGTGCGTTTGGACATTGTTGGTGGATGGAGCGATACTCCACCGTGGAGTCTTGAAAGAATTGGCTGCGTGCTCAACATGGCTGTGCAACTGGATGGTCGGTCCCCATTGTGTGCTGAAGTGCTACTTCATTCTGATGGTGCCGGAGTCACTATTTCTGATGAGGAAGGAAATTCAATAAAAGTTGACGACAGAAGCAGCATTCAAGTACCTTTCGATTCGGACGACAGGTTCCGATTAGTGAAAGCTGCCTTGGTTGTCACAGGTTTCACCAGCAAAAACTCGCTTTCCACTTCAGGGAGGCTCGATATCACCACTTGCTCGAACGTACCACGTGGAAGTGGACTAGGAGTATCTAGTGTACTGGCAGCTGCAGTGGTGAAGGGCCTTCTCGAAGTCAAGCAGGGTGACACCTCTTCGGAGAATGTGACTAGGCTTGTTTTGTTCTTAGAACAGATCATGGGCACCGGAGGCGGGTGGCAAGACCAAATTGGTGGTGTGTATCCAGGCATTAAGTGTACGACAAGTATGCCAGGGCGGCCGATTTCTCTCAAAGTTGAGGCTGTGCCCGTGAGTGACGCCTTGAGACAAGAACTTGAGACTCGGATGTTGGTTGCTTTTACAGGACAGGTAAGGGGAGAACATGCCTTTCAGAAGGGATGCTTTACAGCCTAATAGCATCACTGCTCGTTTACATCTTCGGTTTGTCTCCTCTATTTGTTTCGGAGGTTGAGGGTAAGTGATCTGTTGTGACATTGGGATGGTTTTATGCAGGTGAGGTTGGCACACAAAGTGCTACAAATTGTTGTTCGGCGCTATTTACAACGTGATGCACGTCTCATAGCTGCAATCAATCGGCTCGCCGCTCTTGCCAAGCTAGGTGAAGCCGCCTTCGCAGCAAATGACTTGGATGCTATTGGCGAGATTATGACGGAAGCCTGGTTTTTGCACCAGGAGCTCGATCCAAATTGCAGCAACTCCTTCGTGGATTCTTTGTTTCAGAAAGTGAAACACTTAAGTTGCGGACACAAGCTTGTTGGTGCAGGTGGAGGGGGTTTTGCCATCTTCATAGGCAAGGATAAGAACGCAACTGAAGAGATGAAAGTTCTGCTTCAGAGCGTTGGTCCTCCGGTTCAAGTGTACAGTTGGGCTTTGTTCGAACCTGAATCAAAAGTTGTTGCCGAACTTGATTAGAACTCTGATTAATATAGTCTAAACTTCACCTTGTATGCCAACAAGGGTCATAGCGAGATAGGTGTTACGCGAAGTTGATGAATTTGGTCCATCAGCCGTCTTGTCATCATTGTCCGGACTCAAATGTTATTGGAACATATTGAACACGTGAGGTAGCCATTTCACAGAAAAGTTCCATTGAATTGCCTGTATCCAGTTCACCTATCTCTGGGCTGACAACAAACTTTACGGTACTTTATGTAGCAATTTTTGATAAATCTGAAGGAGGAGATTAGAAGAACTCACTCACTTTCTCGATGTTCTAGCACATCGTGGAAGTGACGTGGCTGGTGGCTACGATTTTTGTTATCTTGATTGAGATAGCTTATTTCTCTGCATGTATTTTGATATTTCTGTTCACAGTCGACTAGTAGTGATGTTCGCGTATGACTTATTGTATGTTTGCCTTTCGTGGGGACAGTTCCTCTTCAACACTGGACAAGGACAACACATTGAGACTGCTCTCTACCAGTACCTATCTCAGCGATTGCCCAAACAGTGCAAAAAAACTGGAGTTGGGCCAGATAGCAATCTGGCTCTCGAGTGTGCGTGGGCCCTCTGATGAGGGTGGTGACCGGTGATCGCGGGGATGTGCCATACATGATAGCGCGCACGCTTACCATGCGAGAGGGTATGGGGATCGGTACCCCGCTTCTCCATAGACATAGCTTCGTAGATTAAAGCATCTGTGGAGAAGGCGGGGAAGGTCCTCAGTTCAATTCTCAGTGGAAGTTCCCTTCTATCCGTAATAAGATTGGAATCAAAGATGAAAACTAGAGTTTTAGGTAGGGTCGCCTCGCGTCTCACTGGTGCAGGTCCGTCCTCCCTCTGCTTTCACCCACACTCCATCACCTCCACGCACCGCATTTCCCCCTTCTTGCATGCTTTCTGCTGCACGTCGAGATGTTGATTGGAAAACCCACTTGGGATTGAACATTTTTAGTAAATTTCCTAGTGTTGATTTTGTGGTCTTCATGACTACCCACAGGTCTAATAAATAAAAATATTTAAAATTGTAATTAAACTAGAAACCGGAGCAAAAATACGAAGACAACAAAGCTCATGGTTCGGCAAGAAGAGAAGACATGTAAGAAAATTAAAGAAGGTGAGACGACCAAGAGAAGTTATGAAAAGTTAAAATAAGTAGAAACAAAAAGAAGAAGGGGTTGTAGGCGCTGAGGCTAGCCTACAATTCTTATCAACCAAGGCTGGTACAAGAGGGCACATCGGGACCCCGGACTTTAAAGAGGAGTTGTTTTTAGACTTACCAAAGACAAAGATTTGCATATTAATGACCACGATATTTGCAGGGTTTGGAAGGATCGTTTGCTTCAACGTGGAAACTGAGTATCTGATCTCAGACTAAGCCAGCAACTAGTGGGAAGGCGCTTTGTAGAACGCATGTTTTTCTGCCAAGAAAAGTAGATGCACACACTAGTATTACCAAAAAAAAAAACACAAAAAAAACACAAAAAAACACAAAAAAAAAAAAAAAAAAAAAACACAAACACAAACACAAACACAAACACAAACACAAAAAACACAAAGAACACAAAAAGACTTGTGGAAGTTAAGCGGCCATTACATAATCGGACAAGCCATTCCAATCCTGTTGTACTTGTGCATTGCAACTGAATTGAAATGAACTTCAAATTCATTACTTCCGAGTTTCACAACCTAACACCAAATGCATCCATTGCATATTCTTACACACTTTGACATGCATTGTTAAAATATCTTTTCTCGTTCGTTGAACGAGTTCTATTAATATTACAGGGACTCTATTCTAACCTTGAAATGTCACCTCTTTATAGGAAATCGCAATTGACTAAATATACTCGCATGTCAACGATTCAATACTCCAATGACCACTTGGTCTCAGTATAAGTTGTGAAATACTTCCCAGCTATTTTCTATCTTAGTGTCGTTAAGGGGTACATGGTGATGATATCTCTACGAATTCAGACAGGCGTAGGGTGTTTCAAACTCAAACGTTCAGAGGGAGCTTTTGTACATAATGCTTTGACGTCGTCACCATCAGAAACTATGATTGATGCTCGTCGCTTGAATATCTGCAACATACATCAAAGATTGACCAATATCCCCATGTAAGTTATTGAGATAAGCACTGCCCATGCATACTGCGATAGTAGAAAGAAATTTCAGCGTCATGAATGCTTCATAAATCAATTCTAGCTGTAGAAGCGGGAGTAGATGGGTTGAAGGAAATTACTGTCTCAAAATACGGAAGCTCTTGCTGAGCAGCCCAGATCTCAAGGGAGACATCATACGGATTGCCTGTCGCTGCATCGGTGGCCGGCACTACAGCCTACCTCACAGAAAGGTAAGTTGTGAATTTTGTGTATACTAAATCTAAACGTTACATTAAACAAAAAGAAACGAAAATGAAAAAAACATACACTCACCACCTCTGCGTGCATCAAAATAATAATAATAATTAACAGCTGAAAACAGTTACTCAGTTTTCATACATCACTCCTTAAACACTACACTAATCTTCTAGAACACTATCCATTCACCACAAGGCAGATCTTACCGACAACCACACGCCGTTTTGATGGTTACAAATAAAACAACCGCAAGTTGAACTAAAAAATTGCAGCACTACAAGATAATTCACAAGATAGTTCGTCGAAGAGTTGGTGCTTACAAGAACAATGCTTTCCGTTTGCTGGGAAATATGGACATACTGAATGGCGCTTGAGTTACAGCGGTCAAGAGCAACTGCCACACGCATGACTGCACACATCGCTTGTACTTTCTTTCGAGACTGAAACCAAGGTCAGATTCACATATGTCAGAACAACGCATATTTGTCCCTTCTAGGAAAGATTTGACTGATGAAGAATCTGCATGATAGCTAGTAATGATTCAAGTCCAGCTCGTTGATTTACTCTTGTTTTAGTTAAGTACTGTCTGTTATACATTTCGATACAATTAGTAAAATTTCCTCATCTCCAGTAAAAACTGACGTAGTAAGCTGAATTCAGGGATCTTCGAGTATTTTGATGTTTTCATATTCCATTTATCAACTTGATCATTTCCGAAAGCTATCTCTTCAGGTAACTCACTTTTTCAGGCAGTCTAGCGAACTTCTTCTGACTAGGTGCTTTTTTCCGATGATATCGTACTAGGAGAGCAAGTATCTGCAACGTCAAAAAGTAATCAAATCAGATTTCCATTCAAATTGCTGTAGCAAAAGCCTAAAGAAATTACGGAACCACCTGTTTCAAATATGTGGTCGTCAATTTTATGAGTTATAGACATGCTACACCTCTAATGTACAAGATTTCTCTCAAAGTGGAGACGAACTCCTACATTTGGTTGTGAGAATACTCAAACTGAATTCATAGCAATATGTGATGGAATTGTGACAAAAAGGAAAATACCTCAATCTCTATGGTGCTGAATCCCAGCAGATGTTCAGTATTCTGCGTTGTCATATAAGCATTAGCAGCATCTAACGAACTCGTTTTGATTTTACCAATTTCATCATAAGCAATAAGGGCAGACAATATGCTTCAGGATTATCATCATAAAAAACAGCTGCCTACGACTTAAAATAGAAATTAGATGTAAAAGATAGATGGAAGATTCATGAAATGAGCGAAATGACAATTTTCACCGTACCTTTACAAGATAGTATGAATGTTTGTGGTATGACCTATGGTTGATAAACATCCCCACAAAATGCAGAATAGTAGCAGCCTCCAACAGCTCAGCATCGTCATTATTCAATAATCCAGCCACGTCTGGAACATATTCTGTAGACCCAGAGCGACACGATTGAAGTCCTGCAAGAATTTGCTGTACACAACAGATTACATCTGCATAAATAACTCGTGAATTTTGAAAGAGCCACCAAATCTGGCATCTTTGAATTGGAGACAGAATTCGTCATAGAAGCATTCCTGCAACGTCACAAACCTCCCACACAACAAACTAACAGTTGAACAAGTAACTGGCACATAAATTGTAACAACAAAAGCCACCAAGTACCATGAGAAATGACTAACCTTGGCCAGAAGAGCAGAATGTTGCGCAGACTCCATGCGTCGCCCTGTATTGAACTTCAATGCGAGATTGTGGATGGAGCTTGACCGGACGTTGACACCTGGTTGATAGCTCGCAAAAGTTTCAGCTAAAGTGTTAACAATAACTCCTTCTCGAAGTGCATAAGGTGACACCAGCATCGACTTTAATCCAAATGCCAGAAAAATTTCTTCCAAAAGCACAGCCCCCGCAACAATGACATCAGCCCTTTTTGAAGGTAATCCGGGAATCTTGGCTCGCTGCTCTGAAGTCTTGGCTTTACAAATCTGATCATCGAACTCGAATAATTATGGACTTGTAACCAGAAATATGATACAGTGATCACCTCTTCACAACACAAACAATTCATGTGCAGTAATTTCTATTTGGAAAATATATATATATATATATATATATATATATATATATATATTTGAGAAAGTGCTACCTTCTTTACCGCCTGGCTGAGTTCATCTGCTGTAAACTCTCGATCCAGAAGCTTGGGATCCGTAGCCTAGTGACACATAAATGTGAGAATTTTTCCGACAAGAACCCCGGATTCAACGTGAAGATGACGAAACTTGATCTCGATGAGGGCTTTCGCCAATGAGCTACACGCACCTGTGAATCATTTGACGTTGTGACAGCATGATGAATCATTTGTTCAATACTTTCAATAGTGCCAGAGCTCCCAATGGCCACTTCAAATGGAGTGGTCTTCACTTGGTCGATCACACCCGAGTCGGCTAAGATCACTCGAATGTGTCTTATTAGCTCCTCAATCTATAACTTAACGAATATCAAAGATAAGTTGAGCTTATGTCTCGTTTGTATTACATTGAGAAAGGAAGAAAGAAATAAACCGATGCTCTCATCTGCCTCATAAAATCTAAATGTAGAAGCAGGAGACCAACAACGTGACTTCAGATGTGAATAACAAAACTTACGCAAGATTCCATGTGTCGAAAATTCAACAGTAATGATAATTACTAACCAAGTCCTTCTTCAGCCCATCTTTCTCTTCACCCAGTGATGGAAATTGCTCCGATTGCCGAACATGGCCGAGTTTGAGCGACGTTGCATAGATAGGCTTGCCTGCATTCCCAAGTATAATTTCGGTGGAGCCACCTCCGATGTCCACCACTAACACAGTCTTGTTATATACAGAAAGTGCCTCCAGTACTCCATTGTAAATCAAGCACGCCTCCTCCATGCCTGCAAGAACCTCAACCTGTAAACCCACATCGTCATGGACTCTACGCACAAATGTCCGACGATTTTTGGCTTCTCGAACCGCAGATGTAGCTACAACTCGCATTTTAGCGTTCCGGCTTTCCGCAAGAATTTTGAAACGCTTCAATGTAGCTAAAGCACGATCCTCTGCGTCTGAGGTAATTACACTTAGGTCAGGACTGCCGCTGCCAAGACGGACGGTTTCCTTTTCCGAGTCCATTACTTGGAAGCGTCCTTGCTTGTCGGCTCGCACAACCACCATGTGAAATGAATTGGTCCCCATGTCCACGGCTGCCAGTATGATGTTACCTGCAACCATTTCAATTTCCAACGTACAAGTCAAAGTTCCAGCATTCTAAAATTTTGCAGCATTGGTGGCATATCACACAGCCTTTTCTGCTACACTATGCGCTCACAAAGAAATGCATAAACGAAACCAAAACGTGCGAGTTGAGACACGAGGCTACGTAAGGGGAAACATGGTTTTCACTACTATCATCGAATGCTAAACAGACAATGGTTGAATTCCAGAGTGCAACAACCACTGCCAAATAAGGCGTTTCTTATCAATTTCCCCATGTAAACTAGCCTTGGTGGGAGCTGCTAAGCTTGTCAAGCAATCAATACTAGAGTCTGTTCAGAAATGTAATCAGCATCAAACGAGGCAACGTACCATTTTGGGCAGATTTTCCAATTCCCTCGCTTGCACTCGTTGGGTAAATACCACTCTCTGGACTGGCTAGTAGTGGATCATCGTCGAAGTCATTTATACCGACCTCATCTTTAATTGGACTGTACGGCTCCAGAGACTTCAAACTTTGAGTAATCATAGGTGCTCAGTAAAAGCGGGCTCTTTTCTCGAAAGAAGGAAGCGAACTGCTCAGTTTTGCAGAGCCTATGAGCTGAGCATAGCCGTGAGCAGAGAAACCATGTACAGATTTCAATGAGATAGGAACAATGGAGCAACTTTGTGGTACTCCCGATGAGCTAAGAACATGGTCGCCCTGAAGATCATTCCAAGAGAGTGAATTTGTTGTAAAAAAAGAGAGGTGAATTTTACTGTTAGCGCCGGAGGAAAAAAAAATTAAAAATTAAAAACATGTATGTATATCTCTTATATAAAAAAAAATCAGGGGATAAATCAAAGGGATAAATCAAGGGAAATAAATTTGATCTCTAATTGGCTACATATCTTATTGTTTTTATCAAAAATGAAGCAAAAGTTGAGTTATGTAGCAATTCATATGGCTTTAAGAGAACCAATTTTATATATTCATAGGGCCTTAACAACACATGATTCACTTCTACCTCTAAAAAGATATCACATTGGCTTTTGACTCAATCATCATTGTTTTCATCAAAAGTTTTCTTTGTATTTGAGATCATTTAAGGTTGTTGCGGAGTTCATGCCCACTCCCAAAATTGAACATGTTGAATTTTTAGAAAACAAAAAAAAAAAAAAAAAAAAAAAAAACTTTGTATTATGCTTCCTTGAGAGGTTTCTTAGTAGATCTATAACTATCACTTTCAATTTTAAACCTATGGGCACATCATTGAAAGCAATCATAAGATAGAACAATGGTATTTGCTTCATACCTTATCAGATCTTTATCAAATTTTTAAATGCTAATTTTTCTCTTAGTAGATTTGTTCTCTTAAGAGTTGTTAGCCTTTGTGCAATTTGTAAAAGAAACCAAGATGTCATCTTTCACTAAGAAAGATCGTCTAGAGTGTGTACTAATTGAGATGGTGTAACCAAGTGTGTAAAGAGGCTCAATCAATACATCTTGGATTCTTCAATCCTTTGTCTTTAGCACCAACTGGGACACCATAAGTGATTCTTTCGTTGTTTTATATAACTTCTATAACAATGGTGTTTGTCCAACTTTGATAAAAGATAGCAATGGTGGTGAACATGAAGCCAAAATTTGGTACTTATTCTTTTGCTTGGATGAGATTTTGATTGATTCCACCACTAGACATGAATATAATGTTTTATTATGGATATAAACAAAAAAAAAAATGCAATGAGCAGCTCAAAACTTGTTTTGTATTTAGGTGTCCATAATTTTATTCAAAATCATCTTTTGTAAGTGTGATAGTTTCTATCTAAAGAGGACATTGTATTTCCAAAGCATATATGAGCCGATTTTCTTCTTCAGGATGTGTGAATTTTAGTCATAAATAAGTTGTGTTTTGATTTCTTGAATCTACCACTAAACTGTACAATAGATGCTAGAAGCAATCCAAGAAGAGAAGTATGAGTTGGAGGAGAAGCAAAAGTTTTGCCTAAAGAAGAGAATAATTGAATTATAAAACAACATATTTTTGTGACAATAGCATGCATTCAACTACTATATACATATATATATATATATATATGTGTGTGTGTGTGTGTGGTTTTTTTTTTTTTTTTTTTTTTTTTTTTTTCCTTTGATTTAACTCAAATACATCTATTTTCATTGAATGATTTTTTTTTTGATAGTCTCCTATATAAATTAGTGTTATTCAAACTTGTATTCTTGTATATTTATTTTTCTTTCTTCTTCCTTTTAATCTTATTTCATTATGTGGGATTTTTTTGGTAATAATAGCAATGTCATATTTCTTTCAAGTTTTGCATAAAAGGTTTATATTTTGGTTAAAGTTTACAATTTCTTCTTTTCATTTTTGTATATCCCTTCTTTGGATCTTTAATAATATTTTTTAGATTAATTTTATTTATTTTTTGTTTCCTTAGTTGTGGTTAAATTTTATTTAGTTATTCAACATTAATTGATTCTTAAATTATTCTACTACTATAAATCAATTCACTAATTTGATCCAATTCATATTATTTAAGAACTTGTAATATTAGACTTTGTTGTACATATAGAAAATATAAAGTAAACACATTAACTTTTTGAGAAATGTCTATATATATATATATATATATATAACACTACATCACAATTAATAATGATGATTTTATTATAAATATTCATAAGATAATTATATTCTTTTATATTTTTAGATAGATCTACAAATACACCTTTTTTGTCTTGTCATTTAATGCCCATTTTTTGTAGAAAAAAAATATTATTTTAATAATGCCAAATAAACATGTATAAGCAACTAAATTTTTATTTTCAAAGAATGCTTCATAAAGAACGTGCAAGATTTTTTTTATAGGTCCAAATCACAATTTTTTTTATACATGTCTAATAGTACTAACCAATGTTTAATGCAACAAATATTTCTTCAAACATAAAATTTATAATTTATTTTCCTATGAATTCTTTTAAGTATATATATATATATATATATTATTATTATTATTTTTATCTTGGTGTAAACTAGAGTTTTGATTCTGATAAAAAAATTTGATCATTTTTGATAAAAATTCATATTATTGTTATTATTATTTTATACAATATATTATATAAAAGATATTTATCAATTTAAACCACCATGTATTCTGTTCCTCCAAAATTAGTCACATTAGAATATTCAAGATTTAAAATCACAACATCTAAAATACCACTTGCATGTTTATGTGTTATGAAAAGATTTGTTATAGGTCTTTGTGGCATTACATATTTTATGTGTTTTTTTATCTTTTTTTGTCCACCTATGATTATCAGCCTCTTAGTAAAACTGAAAACATTATGTCATACAATTTTTTTCCACAAAAGCTTCTCATTTCCTCACTACATTTCATATCCAAATTAAAAGCTACCCATAATTCCAAATGACACATAAAGTTATTTATGTTTCCTAGAGTTGCAACTTTTCGTTTTGACCCACAAATATATCTTAAAAACATTCCATATGCCAGGCATTGGAAAGGGAGAGGTCTTCCTACAAGCATGCTTTAATACCATTTTCACATCTGAAGTTTAGACGTTCGAACATACATTGAGATAATTACAGGTCACCATGATAGGTTATGTGCCATGAAATACGGTATTCGGATCGATGTTTTTATGTTTTTAGATCCAGAAGTTTTCTTCTAGTTTTTGCTTTTTGTTAGCTTCCACTTGGAAGAAACTTTTCTCCGCTCCATTGTCTTCATAAATGTTATATTTCATGAGATAAGGGTTTAATATCTCTAAAGCCAAAACATCTGTTTCTTGTAAGTCATGAGCCTGAGCAAATGTGGACCAACCGCCTACAAATCCTTTTGACGTTCTACTCCACGACAAGTCCCAGTGAAGTCCTGCATCATTTGCTAACCCAATTTTGGCCTTCATGGGTAGCCTTTCCACAAACTTCGATGGAAATGACTGCAAAGATAACACCAAGTCCCTCACTGGATTGTTAAATTTTTGTGTGATTATTTACCTTAAAAAGAAATATTGTAACAAAGCTTCGAAAATCGATGGCGTGACGCAGGTCAAGTCTAAACATTACATTCGAAATACCTATCAGTTGCGTTGAAAGAATTCAAGCTTTGATGAGTTTGGCGTTGAGTTCAAGTTGAAACTCTGTAATTGAACCCTACAGATCCAATGACGAAGTTCGAAACCTCTCATTATGAGTCAAGCCAATCTTTAAGGAATGGCAGTTGAATTCAACACTTGGGTTAACTAACTCATGAAGAAACGGAATGCTTACAATGGCCGACTTTGCCTTCCCACAAATCTTTACAACTGTGGGATTTTCCTTTCCAGCCAAGTGTTGTTTTGCAGCCACAACTCCCTTCGAAATGCTTGATAGAGGATTATGTCTTGTGGTAGAAGAGGTTGTGACTGGCGACGGGGACTGAATCACACTGTGACATATGGGCGATCTAACATTGGTGGGCGAGGCCGAGAAGTTTGTAAAGCTCGTTGGATCCTCTATGCCAGGCGAAGCTTTTGCGATCCCATTGTCATCAAAAGTCTACCGCTTGTCACAGAGAGAATAGAATCAAGACTAAAATTGAACAATTGAAACCACATAGAAAGATGCAATTCAAGTGGTTATTCAAAATGTAGACTCCACACACAGACAGACAGACAGACAGAGTGAGTTGTAGTGTACCTCAAATTGAAACAAAGACTTGGAGGTTTTACTAAACAAAACACGAGAACCAAGAGGAACCACTTGATCTGTCAAAAACCCGATCGGGACAACGACAACATGCTTCCCTTCCACCAAGATAGTTTCTCCAGTGAACTTGTCCATATTAGTTTATATCATTCCATAAAACGAGATTCTCCTGTAAACTCCGCGCACTGTTACAATCACGCGGGCAGAAATGTAAACTCTATAAACACATAGAATAGAATACAATATAATAGAAGAAATTAGGGTTTCGGACAACTGAAGAAGACGAAGCGATCCGAAAGAACACAGTGGCCTCGTTCACACGGGAGCTTTTCTCTTTCTGAAGCAATCGAGGCGCTGTCCACTCAGCAGCCACCCATCAACCACAACGACAAACACCCGCGTGACGTGGCCGGGCTTATATTGGGCCACGCGGGCACGGCCTCCTGGACGGTCATGTCTCTGTCTTCGAGACTTTTCGTCCTGAATTACCAACTTCTGTCGAAAAATCCACCATCTTTCACCTTACGTTGTCATGAATACATCCTCGTTCGTCGTCGGCACCAGCGGCGGCGTCCATCCTCCACACTCCTTTTGCTGCATTTTCTTCAGTCTTGCGTCTTCTTCGAAATGCATACCATTTTCTTTTCCATTCCGATCACCAACATCTACTGTAGCTCTGACACGATTCCATTCCAGGTACTGATCCTCATTCCCCTTCCTTGTCCTCCTCATTTGGGTCTTCAGTTCTTCAATTACATGTGGTCTGTGGGTTTTTGTTGCACTTCGGGTGATCGTGTGGAGTCTTCTCTTCGTACACGTTGAAGCTGAGTTCATGGTTCATTGGTCCTTGGCGATCGACACATGTAAGGGTTTGTTGATTTTTCTGGGTTTGATCGGAGTTGTGTTGACTGTGTTTAGGGGTGCTGTGTGTGTTTTGTATTTCTTATATCAGAGTTTGTGGTTTTGATGTTAGTCTTGGTGCTCTTTCCCTCTCTGAATTGTTGAGGCCTTTGAAGGTCTCGTGGAGGACAGTTGTAGGAATTTAGCAGGAGTGAGGTAGCGCAGGAGGAGGGGTTGGTAGTTTGGTGGTCGCTACAATGCTGAGGCGGGTGGTGGAGAGTTCCACGAAGCGTTTGCTACGGCAGCGGAATGGGGCGCTGGCACGGAGCCGATCTCAGCAGCCGAAACGCGGTTTTGCGGTGGATGCGAAGGTAAGTTTGTATTATTTCGAGTGGCTGCGGTGAGATTGGACCAGTCTGTGGAATTGCATGTGGGTTTTTAGGGTTTCCAAGATTCTGGCAGTAGGCAAGGTTTGTAACTCGACTTGTCAGTTTTGTTTCTACCGGGGTCATGCAATTTGCTGAGAAACGTGGGTTTCTTACTCCATGGTGCAGTCATATCCCATAGTGGATCATACATATGACGCCATTGTTGTTGGAGCGGGAGGGGCTGGTCTTAGAGCTGCTATTGGGTTGTCCGAGACTGGATTCACTACCGCTTGTATCACGAAACTCTTCCCGACGAGGTCTCACACGGTTGCGGCACAGGTTGAGTGTGAATTTACCTCATTTTCTTTTGATTTTTAGATTGCGAGCATGTTTTCTTGTGAGTCATTCAATGGTGCAGATGTAGACATTATTATGTTCGCACTTAGTTGATGTTACCTGATCATAGCAGGTGCATAAACGTTCGATTTTATTTTTGCCGATTCGCTACATCTTTTAATTAGTAGTGCATCTGGGGGAATTACTGTGTACTGGAGGAGTTAACATGCCTCATATGAGATTAACCTGAAGTGTGCAGATGTGCATAGATATTACCTCTGAGAGCTTTCATGTTGAATAGTCTCGATTTTGGGTCGGAAGTTTGTATAGCCTTCGTGAAATCTCAAATTCGATGAATGCTGATCTGTAATTTGGCAACCGTTTCAATAGAATCAGGCACAATGCTACGTACTACCCCTTTTGACTTGCAGTTGCTGCTTTTGCCTTGATAGAGTGTCAATTCTGGGTAATAATTGCTTTGGAATTCATGGTTTGCAGGGTGGTATCAATGCAGCCTTGGGAAACATGACTGAAGATGATTGGAGGTGGCACATGTATGACACTGTAAAAGGAAGTGATTGGCTAGGTGATCCTCTTATTGGCACTTTGTGTACACCATGAATCTGATAGCGGTCATACCTGGTTAAATATAGAACTCGCTTGACATTTGACTTATTCTTCTAGCACCTGAGCATCTGATTGAGTCTCATTACTAGCGCCGACTGAAGACTTAAAAAAGACAAACCTCTTTGGAAACATCTACTTATGGCTTTATCTTGGTGGTCTTGGGTTGTTCCAGGTGATCAAGATGCCATTCAATATATGTGCAGAGAAGCTCCGAAGGCAGTCATTGAATTAGAAAACTATGGACTTCCGTTTTCGCGTACCGAAGATGGCAAGATATATCAGCGTGCTTTTGGTGGTCAAAGTTTGAACTTTGGCAAAGGTAATTTTCTTACTCGGTCCATGTTGTTTTTGAATTCGCTCTTTTCTTTTTCTCGAAGTTCTCATGGGTTTGCTGTATCTTTTTGACATGATCTCTTTGGGTTCTCTTTATTCCCCATGCTTCTCTCATGCACCGACCTGGATATATGCAAATAACAAAATCCTTCATCTATCAGGCGTCAGAACTTGTTTGCTAGAATTATCACTAACTCAGTTTGTTGCAACTTGTATGGCGCAGGTGGTCAAGCATACCGATGTGCAGCTGCAGCAGATCGCACTGGACATGCTATGCTTCATACCTTGTATGGACAAGCCATGAAGCACAACACTCAATTTTTTGTTGAGTACTTTGCTCTTGATCTGATTATGGATGAACAAGGTATGGCATAATCATCGCTTTGTATTTATCTGATAACTGGTACTCTGTTTGACGTTGATGGTGCAGTCGTCTGTCTTTGTTTCTAGCGCGTTAGTTTCTATCTTTGGACTAGGATGCTTTGAACCGTGAATATTATTGTAATGCCATTGTAAAAGCTTTTCGACGTCCATGCCAGGATATTTTAATAGAATGTTTTTGTTTGCAAGTGCTCGCCTGGATTCCTATTAAAAAAACATTTTCTTTCAGTGTGTGCCCAATTTGTTTGAAGACGCAGTATTTATGCAAAGGTCCCCACTAGATCCTCACTAGCTATCTTTGATTGGCCCGTTCTATTTCAGGTGCTTGCAGAGGAGTGATTGCATTGAATATGGAAGATGGCACTCTTCATCGCTTCCGCGCAATGAACACGATTCTTGCTACTGGGGTATGGTTGTTTCTCTCATCCAGTTTTGAATTTAGGATATTTGTGGGGTGTAGTACCTGCCAATTTTACAACTCAATCGTAGTTTTTTTTTTTTTTTTTTGAACTATTAAAAAAAACATTGCTTTGTTTACATAGGTGATAGTCCAATCAATCGTTTGATCATATGATATGCGCTTGACTTAATACACATATTGTGCCAGGGCTATGGACGTGCATATTTCTCTGCAACCTCTGCGCACACGTGCACTGGAGACGGCAATGCTATGGCTGCTCGCGCTGGCATTCCTCTACAGGTAATAAACCGTTCATGCTGGGCTCTTCTTACTCTCATTCAACTGTATAGATCAACTGCAAAGGAGATTGAATGCAGCATCCACTGTGTTGTTATCGGTGAGATTACAGAATACAGAGACGGACGGTGTACATGTTGTATGACTCTTCAGTAATCTTGGCGTTTAAGTTATTCTCCACTCTTTTCTACGTCTTCCGTCTCTACCTTCACATTTCTTCTTTGATTTAGGCAACGTTCAGACCTGATTAATGTTTGCCGTGATTACAGGATTTGGAGTTCGTTCAGTTTCACCCGACTGGAATCTATGGTGCTGGCTGTCTTATTACTGAAGGTGACTGGACCATTGCTTTCATTTATATCTACTTTCTATAGTTGTTGGTGTGTTGAAAGCCGCACTACTTCTTAATGTACAAGCTTTGTTGACAGTTCTTGTGATGTAGCATCTCGTATACGATCCGAGCACTATCTATTGTCGATTTATCCGTACTTAATGGTGTAAATGGTGCTTGTGAACCCTGTTTTGAATACAATTCTGAATACATCTTTTTCAGAGTCTAGAAGTAGTTTGAAGATACCAACTTCTTGTAATGATAGTACTTTCCTTTGTGTTTGTTGTTTTTCTTCAGGGTCTAGGGGAGAAGGAGGTATCTTGCGAAACAGTGAGGGAGAGAGGTTTATGGAAAGATATGCACCAACTGCCAAGGATTTGGCATCACGAGATGTTGTTTCACGATCAATGACCATGGAAATTCGTGAAGGACGTGGTGTTGGTGAGAGTTTCTCCTGGATAAGCTTAGAACTCAGCAATAGATCATCTTCTACAGTGGCAGTATGAAGCATACCCATCTTTTCTCTACTTATATAGATTACAATGTGTTTGTTGCCTAATGTCATACTGTATCTGGCATTATCCTAGGACCCGAGAAGGATCACATTTACCTTCACCTGAACCACTTGCCCCCCGAAGTGCTGAAAGAACGACTTCCTGGAATTTCGGAAACTGCTGCTATTTTTGCTGGTGTGGATGTGACGAAGGAACCCATTCCTGTTCTCCCAACAGTGCATTATAACATGGGTGGTATCCCCACTAATTACCATGGCGAAGTGAGTACAATACTATCATGATTTTGATATCATTGTTTGCTCTGGCGCTTGTTCTCTTCTTTTTGAAGTAGAGCAGCTTTTGGAGGATCATGTACTAACATCGTATGTCAACATAGTATTATGTTCAGAACTCAAGGCAAGAATACTGACATTTGTATTTTGGACATCGGTTGTGTTACTTTGGATCAGGTTTTGACAAAGAAAGGTGATGATCCAGATTGCATGATTCCCGGGTTGATGGCAGCTGGTGAGGCTGCATGTGCTTCTGTGCATGGAGCTAATCGACTAGGAGCTAACTCACTTCTTGACATTGTGATTTTTGGGCGCGCTTGTGCAAACCGAGTGGCCGAAATGTTCAAGCCTGGTACAGACTTACTTGAGCACGAACTTCTACCACATAAAATGCATACATGTAACTAGTACATACTGAGGAATGTATACATGCTTGAATTTACTCTAAAAATGATATGATTATCTCCCTAGTTTTTAGTGTAATAACTACAAGCTTCTTAGAATCATAGAGATATTCACCAGGTAAAACAAGCTGGTCAATTCAACTAGATTGTCTGTAGCTAGATCTTTACATTGATGGCATTTGTTTACAGGACAAAAGCAGCCTGAGCTTCCGAAAGACGCGGGAGAAAAGACAATAGCATGGTTGGACAAATTGCGATATGCCAATGGAGATATCCCAACAGCAAACATTCGTAACAAAATGCAGCGTGTCATGCAAAATAATGCTGCCGTCTTCCGAACTCAAGAGACTTTAGAGGAGGGTGAGTATCTTCTCGCACATTATTCTTGTTTTTGTTTGTATGTATATGTGTATGTTTTTCTTTTCTTTTCTTTTCTTTTCTTTTTCTTTTCTTTTTCTTTTTTTTTCTCAATGTTTTCACCTTCTGTTGTTTGAGTGCATCTTCTGTTGCTCTGTTCTTGATATAGACGTGCTCGCAATGCTTACATTTTGTGTGTCGTATTGCTGGAGTCTGTGAACGAGTGTTTGTTTTTAGCTGATCGGCGTCAAGGGCTGTCCAACAGGTTGCAAGCTTATTGACGAAACCGTAGATTCTCTCTCGCGTGTCAAAACCAACGACCGCAGTCTAACATGGTAATTGTCTACGTCTGCTCTGGGAATGCCTCTTTTGGATTACTTCCTTTTTAAATATGTCAATCAGAATTAAATGAGGAGAGTATAGATTACAATCAGCTACTTTTGTATTCGCTTTTGAGATTATTTTAAATAATAAACCTTGTTTCATAATTCTTATGGTGTCTCGTTTACGGTGATCCTTGAGCAGGAACACTGACTTAATTGAGACAATTGAATTGGAGAACCTTCTTATCAATGCATCAGTCACCATGCATTCAGCAGAGGCTCGCAAGGAAAGCCGTGGGGCTCATGCTCGTGAGGACTTTACTGTGAGTAACGTCAACCCTTTTCGCGTACAAGAATGCAAGTTATATTTGATAGAAATAAAATCACACGATCCCACCTGCGCCCAAATTCTGAGCAAAGAAGAACTACATGCGGTTTTGAGGGCCATTGTGATATTGGTGTAAAATGTTTAACCTTACAATTTTCCGCCGGATAATACTTATTCTCGATTTTTTTTCTGGCTACAGACACGAGACGACGAAAAGTGGATGAAGCACACACTTGGGTATGTATTGCCCTCTGAATGTTGGTGGTATTCCTGGTTATAATATAGTGGATTGTCAAACGATCTACCAAACGCTAAATTGAAGTTCTTACACGTTATAATCCACATGAAACCACAAGAACCTCTTTTTATTCAAGCTTCTTGCGACTCTTTTGATCACCTTAGACGCTAATCAAGTAGTTTACAACCATCCTCGACAGAACTTCTGTTCACAGCATTGTTTGACTTGTAGCATACGGAGACTTTAGTGGAGCTCTACCACTCAATTCTTCACCTCTATCCATCCACTACAATTATGTTATACCAAGTTAAGATGCTTAAAATGCTCATCGACTTCCATGTTCTGTGCAGGTATTGGGAGAATGACAGGGTAAGGTTGGATTATCGTCCAGTTCACATGAACACATTGGATGATGAGGTGGAAACTTTCCCACCTAAGGCTCGTGTGTATTAAAGAACTTATGTCCCGCTGTTTAGCAGTAGTAAATGTGCAGAATTCCAGCGTCTCCAGTGACCTTGATTCCTTGGTTGTAATCGGCATCTGTTTTTAAACAGAGTGGGGCAATCTCAAGGTGTCGCTTGCATGTTATCACGCAAACAGTACTCAAATAACCTCCACGATTAATAATGATATTCTTTTGGTCGTAGTATCTTCTTACTACGCTGATGAATCCATTAGATCTGTGTCAGTTGTGGGTTGTACTCTACTTCTGAAAACTTTTGCAGCTGTGGATGTAATCAGGTCCTTTGTCTCACATGTGATCAGTAGTAAACTTAGAATTTCGAACTTGTCATGGTGCACCTCTGCATGCTGTGTTTTTCGCATTTCTCGCCGCAGATTCATTCACTGCACCTCAATCTTAAACGCATCCAATGTTTTCCACTATGGGCGGTCACGTTGTTGCATTTTCGAACGGTTTTTTTATTATCATTAATCTTATTTCACATTTTAAAGTTTCCTATTAGCACCTGGTTTCTCTTCGCACGCAAAATGTTTCAAGTTTGCCACGTCATGATTTAGTCACTTATGTTCCTGTGTCCATGTCGTGATTCTTTTTCATTTTAAGGCAAATCAGTAAATTAACTATGAATATGTAGATGAGTATTTTAAAGCTTCAATGATGTATGAAAATTAATTAATGTTGTATCGTATATACGAATTTCTACATGTTCATATATATATATAAACAAATGTAATGATAAATAAAAAAAATGAAAACAAAAAAACGATTTTTTCCTCACTGGAGATTAATTGATTGAATGCAAGTGTAATGATCGTATTGCTTATTTAAATATTTGATACTATTATCATTTATTGAACTCTTCCGTAAAATTCTCTGTGTTTCAAGAAATATACATTAAAACATCTTTCATTATTTTTCGCAATTATTTTGTAGACTCTGTAGGAAAAAAGTACTATTGCAAGGAGTTTCTATTGTACTTTTTGGGCTTATTTCTGGAGTTGTAGATTGGGCTCTCTACAATACAAATATATATTACATGCTGTTATTTCGCTGTAATTAAGACAATTAATTGCTTCTACTACTACTTAATTTGTTTGGAACAAATTATATTAATTTTTGTTTTGACGTATCAATTTGTTTCCTTGACAGAATTTGGAATCAAACTCACATGTTTGAAGTTTCAATGTTACGTTTGAATACAATTACAAAATTTTAAAATCTCAATAAATTCGTATTATATTGCTAGAAATACACAGATTGCAGGTAAAAATAAAATACAAGAGAATGCTCATACACATAATTGAAATTCAACCATTTAAATAATATTTCTAATATAAAATACAAAAAATTCATTACAAAAAATATTATATATATATATATATATATATATATAAATACACACACACACACACTTGCAAGTGCAATATTTTAAAAAAAAAATTATGAAAAACACAAGGGCATTAGTGTTATCATAACCCAAATGAAAAATTCTCAATATGCCTCATATTTGGATAATAAAAAATATCAGAAAAGGGAGTAAAATACATAAAAAAAATAATAATAAAAGATGATCTTTTGGTGACTATACATAATGGGTTGGAAATTCTAGTGTAGTGAAATGTTAATGAAGGAATTATGACCCAGTCTGAAATCAACAGACAACTGTGGTTCTATGAGGTGGGAAGTGGGCATGACTGCAAAAAGGCAGTGGGAAAAGCACGTTCATCAGGCGACGTTTCATCCATTAAATGGATGGCTGACATCCATCGATTTCGGTCAGGAATGGGTCTCTTCTTCTCCCGTTCGCTAGGCCTCTGATTGTTTCCGCCTTCGAGAGCGTGGTGGTGGTGGTCGTCGTCGCTGAATTCCGATCTGCATCCCTCTGCTTGAAGCCATGGCGTCGCTCCCGCCCGCTCTCAAGAAGGATGACGATATCGACGACGATTGTGAGTTTCTTCGTTTTTATTGTGTTTTATTTCCTCTTTCTTTGCACTCTCAAACATCAAAAATGATCTAGATCTGACCAGAAATGAGGAAGATCTGGCGGGGGAATTGTAGGGTAGGGTAGGAAATGGAGAGCAATTGGTGGATGAAGGATCGTATCTCACTCCCGTGTTTGCATCTTCTGCAGCCGAATACTCGCCCTTCTACGGCATTGAGAAGAGCGCCGTTTTGCAGGAGGCGCGGTGCTTCAATGATCGAGAGCTGGATGCTCGCCGGTGTGCGCAGGTAACTGTGTCTCGTTTGCGGCCAGCTAGGTTCTATGCGTTTTTTCGTGTGTTCGTATCCATGCCAGTTTTGGTTTCGTTGAATGTGAGTTGTAATCAAACGAAGGCGCGCGCTCGTTTTTATCGTGCGTTGACGTTTTGCTGTGACGTCGCATGTTTACGAGAGTTTTGTGTGTGTGTGTGTGCTCGCTGTTGGTGTTCTGATCAGGTTATTACGAAGCTACTCTACCTCATCAATCAGGGCGAAACTTTCACAAAGGTTCGAACGATGCGAGACTGGAAATTTTAGGTCAATGGTCTTCTTGCGGTTGCATCGAATCAAACAGGGTAGCATTTGTCAAGCTTAATTAGGATTATTTGATTCAATACATCTTTGTGTCATCGCAGGATTGCTCCTAGGTTCAGTTCTAGGAAATTACAGCGATGCCATTTGCTGTTGAGTTGATGCATTTATTGAACATCACACTGAACATCGGATTTTTGTGATCAGAACGAGGCGACAGAGGTGTTTTTTGCAACCACTAAATTATTCCAGTCGAGGGACATTGGTTTACGGCGCATGGTCTACATCATGATTAAAGAGATTTCTCCTTCCAGTGATGAGGTAATCCGTGTTTCCATTTTTCCTATTTAGAATCTAATTATCATCTAACAACCGATTCAGGCCGTTCCGAACACTTCTAAAAAAGCAAAGACGCTTTTCAAACGTGAATTTCCCCTTTTACGATACGGGGGGCAAGGATCACTCTATACTCAATTTTAAGATGCGGTTATCTGTTTATTTTTTCTACGGGTGCTTTTCACATCTACTAGAAACTAAAGGCTTTGCTTACCTTCAATTCAATGTATTAGATTTTCATAAAACTTTGCATTAACTAGACTGGTAAAAAAATGATACTCTATTATGTTAAAATGACAATTTACTTTTTGTCGATGCAAATTCTTGTAAGCGGATAGGTGCTGTAGTTGTTGGACTCGAAGCCTGTCCTATCATGGATTGTGTGCAAGGGCTACATCACATTTTTCAATACGGTCTTGAAGCCCAATATGACGGCCCAAAATTGAGACTTAATTACAGAGACTCAGCTTCGAGTTGCTCTTGTTCTCTTGTTTTGTAGCACCGGATTCGAATTCATTGTTCTTAATGGTTTTGCGGTATGATCTATTCTGAAGCAATGCTTTCGATTTTCGGAAGCTTGACATAGAGATTAGATACGATATGTGAAGGTCTGAACATTTTTTCATGACCCAGAAGGTTGATCACAATATTAACCAACAGAAGTCTGATTCCAGGTTATCATTGTGACAAGCTCTTTGATGAAGGATATGAACAGCAAGACAGACCTTTATCGTGCAAATGCCATAAGGGTTCTGTGTCGAATCACAGACGGTGGATTGTTGGGCCAAATTGAGCGGTATCTTAAGCAGGCTGTAGTGGACAAGAATCCGGTTGTTTCGAGCGCCGCGCTTGTCAGTGGTATTCATCTTCTTCAGGTATTATTATTCTTTCAAGATCTTACTCTTCAGTTTGATATTCACTCCTTTTTACACGGTCACATCTGTATCCTGGCATGTACATTTCTTCTAGAGCTTACTTGGGTGATCAACGTCAAGCATTATGTTGCTTGCAAACTTTTCATCTATATTTTGGGATTAAGTGTTGTTAATCAAAATAGCCTACAAGTTAGCGAATGTTTTTCTGTTCTTTTAAACGTTATTTAAACAACAAATGATGAATTTTCTGATAACAGCTTCTCTTTTGCTCATTTTAAATCTGTAATTTTGTAGAGCAACCCCGAAATTGTGAAGCGCTGGAGCAATGAAGTTCAGGAAGCTGTCCAGTCTAAAGCACCTCTCGTTCAGTTCCACGGTTTGGCATTGCTTCATCAGGTTTCTTTTAACCACTCCGTCCTTTTTCTCTTGCTGAATCATCCTTGAAGGATTTACCCTGTGAATGATACATGAGAAGACTCTATGGCATGTTTATGAGGTCTGTAGTTCGAGAATGCATTTGGTGTAAGGTGAGAGCTTATGTGCTGGACAACATTTTGCATTTTCAGTTATAGACGATTGACTTCGTGGTTCGGTTTCAGTTATGCATCTATGCTGTATAGTTCTGCACTTGCGTAAGGACTACCCGCATGGGAATGGGCTCATGACGCTGTTAATTGTTTGCAGATTCGCCAAAATGATCGGTTAGCTCTAAGCAAGTTGGTGAGTGGTCTTACTAGGGGTACTGTACGGTCGCCTTTGGCTCAATGCCTACTCATCCGCTACACATCCCAGGTATGCCGATCTTATTCCTACGAGCTGGTCTCAAAGAATGCTTCTCTTGCACTGGCTGGGTTGGATGAAGTTGCCAAGTTACAACCTCTTTGATTCAGCATTTATTGAGTTACTCTTTCTGCACACCTTCCTCCGTCAATTTGAGAAAAAAACTGTTATTCCAACCATTTTCTACTTTTGTAAAATGCCAGGTGATTTCAGAGTCAGGTCCAAATTCTCAGACCGGAGATAGACCATTCTATGATTTTCTCGAGAGTTGCCTGAGGCACAAGACGGATATGGTTATATTTGAGGCTGCCCGTGCAATCACCGAATTGAGCGGTGTTACTGCCAGAGAGCTTACGCCAGCTATCACTGTTTTGCAATTATTTTTAAGCTCATCCAAGCCAGTTTTGCGTTTTGCGGCCGTGCGAACACTCAACAAGGTGCGTCTAATTTCACTATTTTAAAATAAAAAGTGTCGTTTTTGATGTGATAAATGTTTGTGTTTGCATATGCGTCGTCCTGAGAACCTTCCCGTGATGAATAGCTTCAGGTTTACATTTTGCATGCCGAAAGGTACTTGAGGAGGTGCCCCTTTGTATGGTGGTCCGAATTGCCCAGTTATTCTTTATGTGTTGACATTGAACTAGCACACAATTCATGGCGGGTTCTTCTGACGCTGCTGTTGATGTAGATCACTGAGGTTACAGTTCTGCACCTCTTAATCGTTACAACCATCCATCAATTTGTGTCCATTTCTTTCACTAATCATGTTCTTTTTTGGGGTTGTCTTTGTAGGTTGCACAGACCCATCCACTGGCAGTTGCCAACTGCAATGTTGACATGGAAAGTCTCATTTCTGACCAAAACCGCAGCATTGCTACTCTAGCCATCACTACTCTTTTGAAGACTGGCAATGAATCTAGCGTTGATCGGCTCATGAAGCAGATCACGAACTTCATGTCCGATATTGCTGATGAGTTCAAAATTGTGGTGGTGGAAGCCATCCGCTCTCTTTGTCTCAAGTTCCCTCAAAAGTATCGCGCATTGTGAGTTTCGCAAAAATATAAACCTATAAACCTATTGTGAATATATAAACCTATTGTGAATATATTGTAGAATGTTCTTTGTGATATTTCCTTCGGTTCCATATTCAGCTGTCAATTCGCTGTTTGTTTGATTAACAACTTGGGAAAGTTTACAGGGATTGATGTCTCCATGTATTCATGTGTTCTATTGATAGATTACAGGCACTCAATATTGACACCTATTTCTAGTTTGAGGCTACAAACAGAACCATTTCATAGGCTTAATCTTCATCGTCCTGATATCACGTGTAATCACCAATAATAGTTCTTGTGTGATGCAAGTATGATGACAGTGCCAGTTTTTATGCAGGATGAATTTTCTGAGCAATATCCTGAGAGAAGAAGGTGGTTTTGACTACAAAAAGTCAATCGTTGACTCTATTCTCATCCTCATCCGTGAGATTCCTGATGCTAAGGAAAGCGGACTGTCTCACCTTTGCGAGTTCATAGAAGATTGCGAATTCACCTACCTGTCTACGCAGGTTAGTAATCACTGCGTGTTGTGTTGTGCGGCAGTACACTTCCATGATATTTTACCTTGTACAACGGTGTTGTAGAGAACCCTCTGGTTTTTTCTTTTTATTAATAGAAATGACGACTTTGCCGGAACACTAAAACATCAGTCCAGCGTGAGAAAGTCATATTTTACTAACCCTTTTTGATTGCAGATATTGCATCTTCTAGGAAACGAGGGGCCTAAAACTGCCGACCCGAGCAAATATATCCGTTATGTATACAACCGTGTCATACTGGAGAATGCTACAGTGCGTGCCAGTGCTGTCAGTGCTCTAGCAAGATTTGGAGCTGTGGTTGAGGGTCTGAGGCCAAGAATTCTGATACTGTTGCGGAGATGTTTGTACGATAATGACGATGAGGTACTAAAATAACCTTTGCGAACTGGGTTGTCCAGTGCACGAGTGTTGTTCTCATAGAAATTATAACTGTGTCTCTTCCTTCAGAAGTGCTCACTTTAATTCCTCGGAAGAGATCGTACAGATTTTTGGTGTTCTTCTCGTAGGGTTACTCAATTTTGTTTTATTGTGACACATTTTTTGGATATGGAAATTATGTAAGTCAAGGGTCAATATGTCTAGTAATGTAGCGATTGGAATTCCTTCATTTATGCAGATGAAGGTTAGCATCCTTAGAAATGCAATGAGTTTTGTTGCAGGTGCGAGATAGAGCCACTCTCTATTTGAGCCTTCTCTCAGATGAACTGGAAGCAGCTCAAGATGAAGCCAAAGCGTTCTTATTTCAAGATTTGGACGTGCCCCTGGAAAACTTGGAAAAAAGCTTGCAGTCTTATGTAAGCACTTATATCACAATTAGCATCGGGTTTCATCATGGATCTTGTTGAGCCAAACTCGTTTACTTGAAGTCAGTTCATTTTTCTTGCTGGCATCTCTTAAGGTACTTTGATTATTTTCCTTTTCAACAGTTTACTATCACAGCCAAACGTAGGTGCACTTCCAACTTCTTTAGTGTCGTGGTTAACTTCGTACACTTTGTGTACTAACCTTTCGAATGTTTTTGCAGGAGCCAACCGACAGGGCATTTGACTTGGCAGCAGTTCCAAGAGATGTAAAGGCTCACCAGCAGGTGGAGAAGAAGGCTCCTACAGGCAAGGAAAAGAAGGCCGCCAAGGATGCAAGTCAAAAGGCAGCTGAGGGCAAGGCTTCAAATACCTTCGAAGCTTACGAGAAACTACTTAACTCCATTCCTCAGTTTGCAGGTTTCGGCAAACTTTTTAAGGTGCCACTCGAGTTTCTTCTTTTGGTTCCTAGTGATATGAGATGGAATCTTTGATGAATATGGTCAAGATGTACTTTTGGTCAATTTTTTTGTGCACTTTGTTATCACACACGCTGTATCCGAACATATTTACGGACTATCGGTGTTAATTCCTTGCCTACATTCAATTGTGTCGAGTGTTTATAGCACGCATGATTTGTACAAGCTGATATCTTTTGACTTAATGGTTTTAATCTGTTTGTTACTTCCGAACCCTGTGTAGTCGTCTACTCCTGTGGAGCTGACAGAAGCAGAAACAGAATACGCTGTGAATGTGGTCAAGCATGTGTACCCTGGTCACATCGTCTTCCAGTTCAACTGCACCAACACCATCGCAGAGCAGCTTCTGGAGAACGTGAGCCTGTGTTTGTTTACTTATGATTTCAAGCCGTTTCTTTGGATGTAGATTTGGTGTGTTTTCTGTGTGTCGAGTGGGATTCGTAACACTCATCTCCTCATTATTAGTGTGATAATTGTTTAGAAGGGTTTTGGAACTAATCGAGTGCACTTTGTCGTTGTTATAGCCAACCGAACGTGAATCGCAAGGGTAGTGTTAAACTTGCTATGTTTAGGGTGCACAGAACCATGTGTTATGAATTGAGGGTTTGACTGACTTGAACCTGATTCTGTGTTTTTTTGGGCATGCAGGTGAATATCGTCATGGATCTCGTAGAGGGGGAAGATTTTACGCAGGCAGCTTCGAAGCCTCTAGCATCTATGCCTTGTGGCGTTCCGGGCCAGGTTTTTGTTGCTTTTGAGAAACCAGAAGGCGCTTGCTCTCTTGGAAGGTTTTCCAATACTATGAGATTCTATGTCAAAGAGGTATGTAATATAGAATTGTCTTTGCGAATTGGCTTATTGGCAACTATTCAGACTGTGGTTGTTGGTTTCCATAATTCCGCTCTATTGATCGCACTTCAATCCACAATTCTTATGCTACGGTCATGTGCGTATCTCAGGTGGATCCCAGTACAGGTGATGCAGATGATACCGGGTACGAAGATGAGTACCAACTAGAAGATTTGGAGGTGGGATTTCTCCAGCACAGTAGATGTCTGTTATTTTGTCCTTCACGTGCATTGGACTTAGTTCTGGTATTTGGATCCTGAAGCGGAAGAATCAATTAGTGTTCTTTAGCTTTTTAATACAAAAAAGAAAAAGAAAAAAAGAAAAAGAAAAGACTAATGGGATTAGTTTCAAGTTCGTTCTAGTATTTCTTCCAACAACTACTGTTGGGTAATCGATTCCTCTAAATTGGCTCACAATTTCTTGCGTCTCTTATTCATGCACCAGATTACAGCACCTGACTACATCCTGAAGGAAGGAGTGTCAAACTTCAGAAATGCCTGGGAGTCTTTGGACTCGGAGTCGGAACGTGTTGATGAATACAGTCTTGGTGCGAGGGAGAATTTGCAAGATGCTGTACAAGCTGTGACTACGATTCTTGGGATGCAAATTTGTGAGGTAAAGTGTATTGGATTGAACTAAGTGCATCTCTATGCTTGTGTGTTTCGTTCTGAGCGATGTGTGTTTCATGTTGTACAAGCGGCACTTGCACTGAGTATTTACTTGTTTGGCTGCAGGCAACAGATGTCGTTCCCAATAATGCAAGGTCCCACACCTGTTTGTTGGCCGGCAGATTCTTGGGTGACACGCAAGTGCTGGTCCGTCTATCAGTTGGCATCGACTCTCAGAAGCAGGTTGCAATGAAACTCGCAGTCAGGGCGGAGGATATAGCTGTTAGTGACATTATTCATGATATCATCAACTCCTAGAATTTTGAGAAGTCTTTTTATCCCGCACTGCCTCCTGATACCATGCGAAGCTGACCAGTCTCCATTAGCGTATAACTATGACAAGACCATCATTTCTTCGTCCCTTTACACCACCTCGTTCACAGAAAGTACGGGTAGCAGCTTACTACGTGGTGAGGATCTTTCTAAATGAGGTCGAAGTCGTTATTAACCTAGAGATCGTCATTTAGAAGAGTTAGTTTGAGAATTAGAAACCTAGCTCCTTTTTCTTTTTATTAATTACAAAGCCTTGTAGTGGGATTTTAATATCGCCCATGAACTCTGCATCATTACCATCTTTCAATTTTTCAGCAGAGCTTCCTGTGGACAAGGACGATTCCATTGTACTGTTTCTTTTCAATTGTAATGCCATCCATAAGGAAACGTTTTGCCAGGCTTCCGTTAAAATTACTGGAACATACATATCTGACTACTCTTCAGCATTCATTTCTGCAATTTGAACTTCCAATATAAATTTAAGTTTCGCAGGATAACTGCTATCTCATGATACTACGCTACCTCCAGTTAGATTATAAAGCATCTCAGCTCCGCCTATGAAGGGGCCTGGAGATTCTGTTACCACTACATTTGCAACAACGTAAAGATTTCTGCTTTTCTCGTGCTTGCTATTCCTCCGAGTGGCTGTCTCGTGTCGCAGTAGCTTGTCAATCGTGGTGACGAGTTGTCTTGTGTCACAACACAGATTCCAACGCAGAGACGAAAGTTTTAAATGCACAAATGAATGCTCTGAAAGTTGGTCAATCTCACAGGGCATCAACAACATTCAAAATCCGAGTAAAGACGCAACACATGCTGGTCGAGTTTTAGGTGCTTAATGAATGCCAAGGTGGAGCGCAACCCCCACAATTGAATATAGGGAGCAGAATTATGAGCCAGCAGGCAGCAGACTTGCGCAGATTTATTCTCTCCCTAGCTTTGAATGGTGTCCAACTTGTCCCCTTCCTTTTGTAAGTAGTGTTTACGACCTCCGCTGTCACTGCACTTCTTTGCAGGATTCCTCATAACTGAAGGGGCCAAATTTGGTTTGGAGAGTTCTGCAGTATTAATAGCCCCAATTGATGTGCACGTCCGCCTTAGCAATTTATTTCTGAGTTGGCGGCCTCTTCAACTCATCCTTCTTGTTTGGGATCTCATTAACTGCAGTATGTCGTCCTACATGCTCGCGACTCTGTCATCGCCGAGGATTCTGAAAGCTAAGCCTATTGAATCATTTCTTTCACGAAGTGAAGACGCTGTGAGTAAAAGCATGCTTATCCTCATTCCATTTGAGGGCATTTCTAAATCCATTAACAAACCCTATTTACCATTTTAATACTGTCATTAAGGATCTGGCTCCCAAGTTTCTGGAGAATATACTTTATTTTTCTTCTGCTTTTTTTACACAAAGTTGGGTAAAGCTGATTTATCAAGCAAATGATTTGAAAGATACATCACTAACATTTGGTTCAAAGCAGATGATGAGTATAAATGACAACCCACACTACACTACACTACTCATTGATTCTACTCTTCATCAAAAACTGCACTCTCCAGCCAGACTTACAAACGATCTCTATGGAAACTATAGTCAAGTCAATCTCAAGCCCACTTTGGTTAATGAATTAAAATGTAGGAAAGTTTTTGATGAAGAGTAGAATCAATGATTCCTTGCTTGCCACTGAATGCCTACTTTTGTGCAGGTCATTGTTCTTTCACAAGATCTTTGATGACCAAGTTATTATCAAGCTCCCTCTACCCATTTATCACTATCTTTCGCTTCATATGAAATGGACTAATCCTTTGAGTTTTTCACTGTTGATATATATATATATATATATACACACAGACACAGACACACATAATTGCATTTGGGTCCATTTGGGTGCATTCTACTGTCCCATTTGAGAACTTGGAACTTCTTCCTCTATTTCTCCTCATTTATTTTGTTTGTTTTTTCTGCTTTTTCCATCGAACGGTGCCCATTGAGTGTTCTAACATTGTGCGTGGTCTCACCCACATGCTGAAAACAACATGTAGTTTGCTTCTTTGCAGTTTTTGGCAGGTATGTTATTAAATTATGTGAGTGTATATATGTATATATATATATATATATTTGATTTCATATTTGAAGAACAAAAGACCACAGAATAATGCAGCCCGTTTATGTGGCCCCAGAGTCTCTATTCAACAACTCATTGACTCTTTCTTTCTATTTGTACATACAGAGAGAAAATGAATGTTTTAGGGGATGGAGTTCATCTTTGACAACGCCTTCACAAAGCTCACAGAAACGTTATACTGCCAATGAAATACTCATCTTGAAGTCAAGACATTTTACACTTAAAGTTTGTTTCTTCATCTTCCTCATCTTACAAACATGTTTATTGATATTTTAGGAGATGGAAATGAAAAAAATACACTATCTTCCATTTTATATTCTATGTTTATAATTTTGTATATTCCACTTACATGTAATATTTTTTCCATTGTCAATGATTGATCCTTTATTTCCCTCCATGGAATAGAATAAAAAAATGACACTACTTTTGGTGGAAAAATAGAAACATTCAAAATTCTTTCTACATACACATCTATTATACACAAGACAAAGAAGTCTTCTAATTGGTCATGAAAGAAACATTTCTATTACATAACATAGCTTGGGTATATGACACAAAGAAACAAAGAAGTCTTCTGATTTGCCATGAAGAGGGGAACATGAATAAACAAGGAAATGGATGGATGGCAATGCCAAAATTGTGTTGCCCCTAGCCACAAGATTCCATGCGGAACGGCATTGGTTTCAGCTAGTAATTATACGTGTTAACATTCACATATACCATATATATGTTAACATTTACTTAGTTATTATTTGTTATCTATTAGTTAGTTTAAGTTAGCCATCCATTGAATCTGTCCCTCTAAGTCCAACGGATTTCCTGATAACTATCAGAATATCAGCATACCCCAAGGCCTGAACGCTGCTGACGCGGCAGCTTGCAAGTTGCCACGCGGGGGATGCACGTGGGCTGCTGACGAGGCGAAGACTACTTACTACCACAACCACTCAAGTCAACCATTTAGTAGGTTGCCAACCCACGAGCTTACAATCTGCCTTTGGATGGACAGTCTTCCGAATATGAACAGAGTTTTACAACCACACGTGGTCATCCTGGATGATCATTCATCCGACTTGGATCGTGCAAGCCCCTCTCGCTCTCTTTAGGCGAGTGCGAGGAAACAAGAAAAATAAAAAGAAAAAGAAAGTTCGGACTTTATCGCTTTGACAGATTGCAGTTTGTGCTGAAAAGTGAGGAAATATCATGATTTCGACAACACCGATTTCCAGCATGGCAAGAGAGTCGAGCAAGGTGGTACGACGAGAGGAAGAAACGGAGGAGGAGAAAAGAAGAAGAAGACAAAGGGAGGGAGAAATGGTATTGAAGGAGAGGAGAATCCTCGCTCCCTCCGAGCATGTCAGAATTCGGAATAAGCGACAAGCTTGCCGGATCCTGCCACCAACTCCATGCGTGGGAGCGCCGCGGATAGCACTCCTCCGAATCCTTCTCACCGCTACTACCACCTCGCCACCGTGGACAACCAGCGCGTCTTCAGGTCAGGTTCTCAAGTCGGGCTGCGGCAATTAAGAGTCCTGGGCTGGATGCGGAAGATGGGTGACGCCGCCAAGCTGCCAACCACGCAGAAAAAGAAACGGCACTCCTTGTCTGAAACTCAAAAATCGAAGCTCCGCGGATAGTAGCCTTGGGGCAGCTACTGTAAAACCGTCTGCATCGTCATACGTTTCGGGAGCGACGTAGCGGTGTTGCAGTGCGCGCGAGGGCGTACACTAGTTTGGATCTTTGTCACGAGCCTTTTGGGAGGGTACATGATAGCGGATGCCTTTAGCTGCCGTTCTGCAAGATGAGCGTTGGTCCTCAAGGACGGCGCAACTCTAGTGGTCTACGCTAGTTTCAACATCGGTCCTCGAGGGTGGTTGCTTGTCCTTGTGGCGATGAAATGGGAAACCCTGATCTATTTCACACAAGTTGAGACGTCACGGTGGAACCCTGCCAGTCCAGCAATCATTCGCACCGGTGGGTGGGTGTGTGTATGTGTATAAACATGTATATGAATAATCCCGGTATCGGACGATGCAGTGAAACTCCGATCCATCTCTCTCATGCAAGCTCCGTCTCCATGATGCGGTTACAGTGGGCTCTTCGGCGGCGGATGATTTGTTTAGAGAAGAAGCTCTCGGCCAGGGAATTCTTTGTCCTAAACCCAGCCCACCGCTGACATATATATATATATATATATTCATTCACATACACATACACAAGCTCTGCTCCTACAAAGTTTCATGGGATGTTCCACAACGTGAATATGAATTTTGGTATATTTTTGCTCTTTAAAATCCTTTAAGGGGATTCTGATGTAAGGTTTTTGTGTGATATTTCACCCATGATGATATCCTAAAGTATCCAGTGATATTTTGAAATGTCACTTGATACTTTAGAATCACCCACCTTGCAAGGTGGATGAATTTGAAATCCAAATATCAAAAGAGAGGCCAGTGAAATATCAAAAACTGCCTTGCTTGCCTTTATTGTCTTTCCTCTTTGACTTAATACCACACTGCTCTTTGACTTTTCCAAATCATCAAAATATCAAGGGATACTTCAAAAACTTGAAGATGGTAATAAAGTTTGAACAATAATATTTTGGGAGGTGATATTTGAGTGATCCAGGGTATTTGGTTTTCCAAAAATCTTTAGTTTGAATCCCCTTATTGAAGTTGTTTCTTGTTAAGTTGTTTGAACATTTCAATGTGATGAGCCAAAAATCCAACTTTAGCTTAAGATAACCTGACATTCAAATCATATATATTACAATTAATGATTTGTAATGTGTTGAAACAATAAGCATGGTTTATTTTTAATTGTTCCCTCCCCTCACATGGCTACAATACCATTTGTATAAGGAATGGCATTGACATCTCATGTGCTTTTAAAAAAAATACCATTGATTACAAATAACTCTTTTTCTCGACATCAAACAAAGTTTAAAACCACAACATGCAATCTTTTCAATTAATTTATTTTCATCTTGCATATTGAGGTCTTTGCTTTCAGCATCCTAAGGATCTGTTGGAATGTGTATTGAGATACGGGGACAAAAGTTGGACAAAGTGGAAGCAAACACCTCTATTCATCATCAAAACCATCAATATCTCATCATCCACCTTTACAACAATCACTCTCACTTTACTACATGTTTTGTTCCAACAAATTCTACTTTTATAAATTTTCAAGAAAGTAAAATTCATGGAAACCACACAACTTTATAAACCACAATTTGATCAACCCTTCCCAACATCTATCTCTTATTCCTTTTCGTTCTTCATGTGAGTTTTTGATATGCAA